TTGCTAGATGTCTTGGCAATAAAAGAGTGCAGTACAGTCAACGTGAAATGCAGAAACTGCGAGAAACGGAGCGCCAAGACCTTATATTGCTTCCAGTGTTGTTCATTCTGGTGTGAAGAATGTATTGTAGGACATAACATAATGCGAGAAAATAAAGACCACAGAACTCTAGCGTTGAAAGATTTTCAAGATCAAGACATCAAAGCTGTTTTAGAGCGACCAGCATTTTGTCAGAAGAAACACCGTGAAAACAAAGAGTTGGAGCTCTTTTGCAAGGACTGTAAAGTCGCCATTTGTAGCGCTTGTGCCATGACACTTCATGATAATCATGTCAAGATGCTTTTGCAAGAAGCTACGGATGCCCGCAAGACACAGATCAAATCCATTATTAAATCTTTGAAAGACAAAGAAGTGGAAAAACAAGAGGAAGTCGAACAATTCAACCAAAAAAGCATCGCATTTCAATCGAAAGTAGCAGAGGTAAAAAGCCAAGTGCAGTCTTGTGTAGACCAAATCATTGCAATCATCGAAGCGAGGAAACAGGATATTTTTGATGTGATTGATAATCAAGCGAAAAAGTCACTGGAATCTTTTTCTCATAAAAAAGACGAACTGAACAAACAAGTGAAATTAATTGAATTAGCAATTGAACAAGCTGAAACTCTGTTGAAACAAAGCTTTAGCACTGAAATCCTTGGATTCAGTGAAACATTTGATTCAATCCTGCAGGAACAGAGCACCCAAGAAAACCGTGACACTGAATGTATTCCTCGATTTAGTTTCACTAAAAGTAAAAAACTGATTAACCTGTTGAGCATGAGCGAGGGGATAGGTAAAGTAGAATTTGTTTTTAGCGAAATTAAAGCGCAACAATTGGGAACTAAAGGTAAAGAAAGTAGTAAAGTAATTGCTGGGAATAAAGGGGCAAATGTTCATGACAGTCCTTTTGAGGCTCAGGTACAAACCAGGTGCTTCAGATCTGTGCTGTCATTTGGACGAAAAGGTAAGTCTGTTGGAATGCTTAACAGTCCCTGGGGGGTGGCAGTAAATGATCAGGATGAAATTGCTGTGACTGAGTACTTGAACCACAGGGTTTCAGTGTTTAGCAGTGACGGTATCCACTTAAGATCGTTTGGTAGATGTGGTGACAATAAAGGTGAGTTCTGGTACCCTAAAGGGATCGCTTTTGATAGTCATGGCAATATTGTAGTGGCAGACTGTTGGAACCACAGGGTGCAAGTCTTTGATTGGAATGGTAACTTTCTTAGTATGTTTGGTGTTAATCAGCTTCAATACCCTGCAGGTTTATCAATAAACGGCAACGGTGATATTATTGTTGCTGATGGTAGAAACATATTAATCAAGATATTCTCTTCTAGTGGGGAGTATTTACGTAAATTTAGTGGAGCAGGTTCTTTGGTCTCTCCCATTCACTGTATCCAACACGGTCAATATTTTATAGTCTTAGACTTTGGTGACCATTCCATTAAAATATTTAGTCTTGAGGAAAGGTTTATTTCTAAATTTGGAAAACGGGGAAACAAGGATGGAGAGTTCAATAAGCCCCGTTACTTGTCAGTTAACAAAGAAGGATTGCTTATGGTCTGTGATGAAAAGAATCACAGAGTGCAGGTATTTGAACTGAGTGGAAAGTTTGTTACAAAGTTTGGAAGTGAAGGTAGCGGGAGAGGAGAGTTAAACTATCCAATATCTACAGCAAATTTAAGTGATGGAAGGATAGTTGTGTCTGATATGGAGAACAACCAAATCCAGGTTTTTGACAAGATATAATTATGATCTTACCAGTGGTATTATTGTTGAAAAGTTCAAATTGGGTATCCAGAATAAGAAACCGTAATTTTTTAAACAAAAAGTATCTCGTGACGTATTTGTCACTGTTGACCTTTTCTAGTTGTCCGTGAGGGGTGGAAGGTGGGCATTAGGTTGCTCTCACATATATTGTCTCTTCTGTGAATGTAACAATAAATTATAAAACCCTGGCTGTAATAGCTGAAATGACATTCAAATTGTAAATATATTTTGTAACCTTTTTTCAAATGTACTGTAGTCTCATCTAATTGCCGATTGTAGTTTAATAAGGTGGTTCAATTTTCTTGAGTCAAAATTGTTTTTTGTCGTACACCCTTTCATTTTCTTTCCAGTAGTTGCTAGTTGTTAGCAAGTTTATTTTTGGAGATATTATTCTCGAGCCCTAGCATAAGTACCAATTTTTTTCTCATCAGGTCTGTTGGTTACCACATATATTAACCGAACTGTATTACGTTTTGTTGAAAATGCATTAAAGGATATTCAAATATAAAGAATGTCTTTTTTGCTCAAATTTATCGTTGTCAAAGAGACCGTCATTTGTTGAAGTTAAACGTACCAGTTTACTTCATTCAAGTGTAAATGTATTTAGCACGCGAGTCTAATTGAGGACACTATTTTTACGTCTCTACTCAGAGAATGCACCATCATTTCTATGTTCAATGATCGTCCGAGTCACGTGTAGGTCTTCTGAGCAGTTTGCAGGACAAGACAGCACAGCGAACCCCTTTTATTGACACTCGCTTAAGAAAGACACCTCATTGTTTGTCCCTGGGGAAAAAGGCCCTTATATTTTCTCCTGATTCAACCCCTTCAATACGGACAATTAATTATACAATCACCACAAAAATAAAAAAAACTAACAGTGATGAATGAAAAAAAAAAAAAAAAAATATACTTTATTATAAAGATTTAAAGACACTAACCACACTCAATACAAGTTTAATTTTTTGCTTTGATGGAAGATGAGATGTTTTTTTTTTTTTTTTTTTTTGGCTTCTTTGGCTCGAGAGGGAAAAAAGAAAAATAACCTCTTCCCGTGAGAGACATAAAGGGATAATAGGGAGAGGGCATGATCTCAGGCTATACCGCGAGTAGCTAGCGAGGTCGCTGGCCGCAAAAATTCCCTTGCAAGACGGCTGAGTCATTGGAAAGCCCTGTCGTCCTGCGGAAAAGTACATTCTGACTTATATTTTTGTTTCTGTAGAGAAATACAGGATGTTATTTATTCTTCCGTCACACCATCAAAACATGTCAAGAAACTCTATCCAAGAATCGTAGGCGTGTGTTCATAATGTGTTCAGTGGGCCTACGTGTAGGGGAGGGTGCGGCTTTACGTAAGCTAGTTGAATGTACACAAATATGAAAAAAATTCAATAGTCAATGCTTTAGCCTGCTAAGCAAATTTTTCCGAACGATTTAGGGAGAGAAAGATTCTTCGATTCATTACTCTTTATTGCCCTCGCTCCGACTTTCTTGACGAGGACCTCGCGCGGAAACCCTTGCTCATTAACAATTCTCGGAAATACAGGATGTTTTTTATTCCTCCGTCATGTCTTGATTGGTTAATAATACAAAGCCGGTTTAGTCTGGATCACAAGACAAGACTTCATTGTTTATTAGCAAAGCCATTCCCTTGTTCGTCAACAACTAGGCCAAACTTTTTAAAAAGTAACCTTGTTTCCCACCTTTTCCATGGATATCAAGACCTTGCTGGACAATCTTCATGATGAAGTATCCTGCTCTGTGTGCATGTGCACATTCACTGATCCAAAGCAGTTGCCTTGTTTGCACAGTTTCTGTCTTCATTGCCTGAACGGAATTCAACGAACGAGCGGGCTCCATGGTAAAATTACATGTCCCGAGTGTAGGAGACAGTTTCAGATTTCTGGAAGTGGAAATCCCAGCGAACTTCCCACCAATTTTCGAATAAACAGCTTGCTAGATGTCTTGGCAATAAAAGAGTGCAGTACAGTCAACGTGAAATGCAGAAACTGCGAGAAACGGAGCGCCAAGACCTTATATTGCTTCCAGTGTTGTTCATTCTGGTGTGAAGAATGTATTGTAGGACATAACATAATGCGAGAAAATAAAGACCACAGAACTCTAGCGTTGAAAGATTTTCAAGATCAAGACATCAAAGCTGTTTTAGAGCGACCAGCATTTTGTCAGAAGAAACACCGTGAAAACAAAGAGTTGGAGCTCTTTTGCAAGGACTGTAAAGTCGCCATTTGTAGCGCTTGTGCCATGACACTTCATGATAATCATGTCAAGATGCTTTTGCAAGAAGCTACGGATGCCCGCAAGACACAGATCAAATCCATTATTAAATCTTTGAAAGACAAAGAAGTGGAAAAACAAGAGGAAGTCGAACAATTCAACCAAAAAAGCATCGCATTTCAATCGAAAGTAGCAGAGGTAAAAAGCCAAGTGCAGTCTTGTGTAGACCAAATCATTGCAATCATCGAAGCGAGGAAACAGGATATTTTTGATGTGATTGATAATCAAGCGAAAAAGTCACTGGAATCTTTTTCTCATAAAAAAGACGAACTGAACAAACAAGTGAAATTAATTGAATTAGCAATTGAACAAGCTGAAACTCTGTTGAAACAAAGCTTTAGCACTGAAATCCTTGGATTCAGTGAAACATTTGATTCAATCCTGCAGGAACAGAGCACCCAAGAAAACCGTGACACTGAATGTATTCCTCGATTTAGTTTCACTAAAAGTAAAAAACTGATTAACCTGTTGAGCATGAGCGAGGGGATAGGTAAAGTAGAATTTGTTTTTAGCGAAATTAAAGCGCAACAATTGGGAACTAAAGGTAAAGAAAGTAGTAAAGTAATTGCTGGGAATAAAGGGGCAAATGTTCATGACAGTCCTTTTGAGGCTCAGGTACAAACCAGGTGCTTCAGATCTGTGCTGTCATTTGGACGAAAAGGTAAGTCTGTTGGAATGCTTAACAGTCCCTGGGGGGTGGCAGTAAATGATCAGGATGAAATTGCTGTGACTGAGTACTTGAACCACAGGGTTTCAGTGTTTAGCAGTGACGGTATCCACTTAAGATCGTTTGGTAGATGTGGTGACAATAAAGGTGAGTTCTGGTACCCTAAAGGGATCGCTTTTGATAGTCATGGCAATATTGTAGTGGCAGACTGTTGGAACCACAGGGTGCAAGTCTTTGATTGGAATGGTAACTTTCTTAGTATGTTTGGTGTTAATCAGCTTCAATACCCTGCAGGTTTATCAATAAACGGCAACGGTGATATTATTGTTGCTGATGGTAGAAACATATTAATCAAGATATTCTCTTCTAGTGGGGAGTATTTACGTAAATTTAGTGGAGCAGGTTCTTTGGTCTCTCCCATTCACTGTATCCAACACGGTCAATATTTTATAGTCTTAGACTTTGGTGACCATTCCATTAAAATATTTAGTCTTGAGGAAAGGTTTATTTCTAAATTTGGAAAACGGGGAAACAAGGATGGAGAGTTCAATAAGCCCCGTTACTTGTCAGTTAACAAAGAAGGATTGCTTATGGTCTGTGATGAAAAGAATCACAGAGTGCAGGTATTTGAACTGAGTGGAAAGTTTGTTACAAAGTTTGGAAGTGAAGGTAGCGGGAGAGGAGAGTTAAACTATCCAATATCTACAGCAAATTTAAGTGATGGAAGGATAGTTGTGTCTGATATGGAGAACAACCAAATCCAGGTTTTTGACAAGATATAATTATGATCTTACCAGTGGTATTATTGTTGAAAAGTTCAAATTGGGTATCCAGAATAAGAAACCGTAATTTTTTAAACAAAAAGTATCTCGTGACGTATTTGTCACTGTTGACCTTTTCTAGTTGTCCGTGAGGGGTGGAAGGTGGGCATTAGGTTGCTCTCACATATATTGTCTCTTCTGTGAATGTAACAATAAATTATAAAACCCTGGCTGTAATAGCTGAAATGACATTCAAATTGTAAATATATTTTGTAACCTTTTTTCAAATGTACTGTAGTCTCATCTAATTGCCGATTGTAGTTTAATAAGGTGGTTCAATTTTCTTGAGTCAAAATTGTTTTTTGTCGTACACCCTTTCATTTTCTTTCCAGTAGTTGCTAGTTGTTAGCAAGTTTATTTTTGGAGATATTATTCTCGAGCCCTAGCATAAGTACCAATTTTTTTCTCATCAGGTCTGTTGGTTACCACATATATTAACCGAACTGTATTACGTTTTGTTGAAAATGCATTAAAGGATATTCAAATATAAAGAATGTCTTTTTTGCTCAAATTTATCGTTGTCAAAGAGACCGTCATTTGTTGAAGTTAAACGTACCAGTTTACTTCATTCAAGTGTAAATGTATTTAGCACGCGAGTCTAATTGAGGACACTATTTTTACGTCTCTACTCAGAGAATGCACCATCATTTCTATGTTCAATGATCGTCCGAGTCACGTGTAGGTCTTCTGAGCAGTTTGCAGGACAAGACAGCACAGCGAACCCCTTTTATTGACACTCGCTTAAGAAAGACACCTCATTGTTTGTCCCTGGGGAAAAAGGCCCTTATATTTTCTCCTGATTCAACCCCTTCAATACGGACAATTTCTATGCCCCCCCCCCCCCCC